TTCTAACTTTCCAATAGTGATCGATTTCGTGATAATATACTTTCCATTTTACTATCTCTTTTTCCGTCATTTCTTCTAACTGTGCTTGAGTGATTAGGACTCTCATGGCTGGTTCACGATCCAACGTTGTTATTAATGGTTTCTTTGATACATCCTTCAAACATGTGAACTTCTCCTTTGATATGATTTTCATGAATTTTAATACTCGTGCAGTTGTTCTCCATAATCTCGACCATGTACTAAATCGATTTGCATCAACTAATCGAAATTTTCTATCTACTATCACTTTCGTTGTGTTCATTGTTGTAGAACTTTTACTTATTCCTTCGTTTTCATATTCCTCATTAAATTCATATTTCCATTGAGGCCATTTACTTTCTTTTTTTGACAACCAGAGTGGTCCTTTCCACCATGATTCGCAATTTCTCAGCCTTATTGGAGATATTCCCCTCGTTGCGATATCAACTAGATTATCTTTACTTGGTATATAGCGAAAGGAAGCTTTTGTTTTCCTTATTTCCTCCATACGATTTTGTATGGAAACTAGTAATAGTCGAGAATGGTTTTTGATCCAGTGCAGTGCGAACTTGGAATCTGACCATACCGTTATCGGTACATTTTCGAATTCTAATTGAGTTATTACAAATTGTACCGCTCTTACTCCAATGAGTATTGCTAATAACTCTAACCTAGGTATTGTCGTGCCCTTGATTGGTGCGACGCGTGACTTGGCGAATATTAGGAAGATTTTGATCCCTCTCGAACCATGATTCCGTACATATAGAGCTGTAGAATAAGCTAAATTTTATGCATCCGTAAAAACATGCAATTGTAAGTTTTTTACAGGATATATTACAAACCGTGGTAGTTCCGTCACGTTCGTTGACCAATTTTTTATTAAGTAACTCCATATTTCTTGACCCACTCCATCTAGAGGTTGATCGCAATTGTTGTTTTTTTCCATAGATTCTGGAGGAATAGTTTGGACTGAATCATAACTGGAACGAGGAATCCCATAGGATCATACTGGAATACTATAAATTGCGAAATTGTTCTTTTTGTTAGTTCTTTATCGTTCCAAGGGTTTAAAGTGACTTTTAAAATGTCTTGATTTGGACTCCATTTAACTCCAAGTGTCGCGAAAGTTGAGAAATATCAAGAATATTATAACTGGTCAAGTGTTTAAATATATATATACACATATATTCATAAATGTAATATTGCTGTCTTAATACATGTTCATAGCGTCAATTATAATGTAGCCGTTTAAACCAATAGTACAGTCAAATGATTCATTTTGTAC